TCTATTTATATTGTTTTATTCTAGCTGATTTTTAGTATTTAGATTAATTTTCATAATGAGCTATACATGTCGATATTGTGGGAGTTCGAAAGGCGAACTTATTCATCCTTGCAAGTGCGATGGCTCAATCGCGAGGGCACACCCACAATGCTTAGCGGAATGGGTTAGCAATTCAGGTAGTTTCTGTTGTGAAATCTGCGGTACATTCTATAACGTTGGCAAAATTGTTCTAAGAAATTCATTACATTCATCAAACCTTTTTGATTTATCCACCTTATGGAGAGTATTCGTAAAAAGAGCCAGAATATATGCGGAGTCAATTTACGAAATTTTTTTTGCACACGCCGTTTTTTGTGCAAATGGTATTGTATGCATGTTTCTCTTTTTATTACTTCTGGGGCAACTTTTGGAAATTGGCACGATTCAGTTATTTGGTAATATACAAAAGCTTGAATATCGCGTAATTTTTTTTATCGTGTTCATGGTAGACAGCATGCCCATTCACTTTATTAGTCTTCTCGTATTAAAGGGTATTCACGTTTGGCAAGAGTGGCTGTTTATTCACGAATCCGAGGTGCCACTTCCCCCTTTACAGGAACCAGACAACGTGGAGCGTCATCCTCAGGACCTAAACACAATCTTGTTTAATGAAGCGATGAGAGAGGAAGAAAACCTATACGCCCCCATGTGTTTTTCAGCGCAGTACGAAAAGGAGCATTATCCCAATTCGCACATCGTGGAGGCTAACCCGATATTGGAATATAAGACCTTGTTGAAATGTATAAAAAAGAATCTCAACAATAGTATGCCTGTTAGTTTTTTCGAACGAAATTTACCTCACCTCGCACTAAAGTATTGCAAAATGACCTTTTTCATAAATTTGCGGATCACATTGGTGTTACTATTGTTTATAAAAAATAACGCGTTTATTTTTTCATTAAACCAGAGACTTTTCGATTTCCTTACCCACACCACACCGGGTTATTCTCTCTCTAGCACCATCGCGCGCACTGGCCTTGGGGATGTCGCTTTGTTTTTTCGACACGCCCTCACCGTAATGCCGTCCTTCAACGACATGATAAACGTCCGGATGAATTTCCTATTTTTCTTGAACTGTCCTATTTTGGTTGGGTATGTCGTCTTTAAGTTCATGCCATCGAACCGTTGGAAAAGAAATTGGACCATGTTTTATATTTTGATCCGAGGTTTGATTGTGGGGTTTAGTTTAATTTTCCTGAGCTTTATGATTATGCGAATTCCCGGGAGCTTTTTGGAGTCAAGCTTTTTGGTCAGCAAAAACGCGATCACGGGGTTGATGAGCCCAACCACCGCCTGGCATGTTCTACAGAAAAATGATCTCGTCCCGCTCGTGTGTGATTCTACGGAACACCCAATAGACAATTCCTTCATTATTTTAAAGGCGCTTTATACCGTATCTCGTGATTTTATTCCTTCCAGGGCGGACCCCCTCTTCGACATCCAAACTGGTGTTTGCTTGAACACCTTCGATGCCGCGAGTTGTGGAAGCTTTCTATTTCACGAAAAGGGATACATCCATTACGCAGCTTACTCTGCACGGGTAGTTTGGCGTGTTTTGTCGAGTAGTGCCATGAAGGAATTCATAAATACTTTATTATTCACAATGATTCCCGTATCGGCACTTCTAAGTTTTGATATAGTCAGAAATCGAACCAAGCTTGGTCATTTTCTTACGGAAGGTACCTTTTTCATTATTTCCCATCTCGATGCCTGGACCGCTTTGCGCATTTTTTTCGAATTATCAACCATTCTGATGGTAGCCCTCACGATCATGAGCTGGAGCTCATGGGCCCTTCTACGGTACCTATCCCCCGGATCGTTCCCAGTTGTGATTGATTACTTTTCTCATAACTTCTTTATCATTATCAGGACCTGGTCCAAGTGCCCTAATCTTCTCCGTACATTCGCAGTTTGGAGAAAAATTTCTGATGTTCTTCAGCGTTTGTTTGGGGCGAAGGATGCCGCGATAGGGACTAATAGGCGGTCAGCACGTTTAGTACCAGTTGGCATTTTTTTTAACTATCTTTTGTATGCCACCACCTACTTTGCTATCAGTGTGGTTCTGACTTCTCTTGTACGGTATATTCAATTATCATCAAGCCATTTATGGCTCATATACGTTCCGTTTTTTGATCTATTTGTTAACTTATTTCAACTTCTAAATTTGTGGGAGGTGATCCATTTTCTCATGGATCGTGTGAAAGAGTGCCTAACTCTTTATTTCGCTAAGCTTTACCTTTATGGGGTCTATGGTCTGAAGCTCATAGATGATCGAGGCATACTGATCTTTAAAATGTCAACTTCGATACCATCGATATTTAAGCAACAGGTTATTGAAACTCAAAAAGAGAAAATCCTCGAGTTCTATAACGACGCTTCACTTAGTACAGGTCATCTATTCTGGATTTCGGTTTTACCTGGCAGAAACCCACCCGTTGCTTATTCTATGTTCTATAAACACCTGCCCCTGCTCTATCGTTCCTTTTCAGCGAAGAGGCGAAGGGTTATGTACGGAAATTGTATTATACACCTCTTATTTTGGTTGGTGGCGCCTTTAATCGCCGGAAGGGGTTATGCGATTAACGATTCACTCTTATGGGGGGGAAGACATCAGACCGCATGTTTATTGTCTCCCTGGTGGTACAAATTCCTTCGCAGTTGGCTGGCTGGGATAATATTTCTTTCGGGATACTTTATCATTGAATATGAACTTATGGAGACCCCTTTTCTGTGGAATTTGAAAAATTTCTACCCACACAATCTTTTCTATTGGCATATCGACATGGTGCACCGTATTGCAATTCCGATCATCATCCGATGTGTGTCTATGAACCTTTACATACCTATCCATAAATTAATCTTAACTATTATTGGGAAAACGAAAGTAGGCAAGGCATTTAGGCCAGAGTATATTCCACTTTGGATAATATTCTATGAGTACTTGAGAAAGAAAGCAAGTAGAAGACATGATACAGCCGACAATTTACACAACGTTGATGTGCAAGCACCGACGATCACGCAGATAAATATCGAGAGGCCTTGGCCCATCGGAATGGATAATTTTAGAACTACTGTCAATCAAGAATATGAAAAGATACTTCCGGACAGCCTTGAGGTTGTCACGCTTCCATTTTTGTCCGGTACAAACTTTATAGAAAGATTCCGACATTTTTTTACCGAAATAATACCATCGATCATAAGAAGAATGAGTGAATATCTCCACGCCCGTTGGGTGGAGCTAGTTTACAAGATCAAATTATATCTTTATACTGCTATCAAGGAAGATGATACTATAGGGGTAGTTTTTCAAGACTATCAGCAGACCTTTTGATGCTCAATATGTCTATACTATGGCCAGTGTGATATTTTTGTTATTATTATACATCTGCTGCCTACATATCTTAAAGATTAAATACATCTATATTGTGATCATCATTTTCTTATCGTTATTATATATCTATATATAGATATATAGATATCAATGTTGTGTATACATCTCCGCTTTATTACTTAAGCAGGACTCTTTCAAACCACATTGGTGGAATGTTAGGGTTTTTGGGCCTATCCCATCCCTGTTCCAATTTCTCTCTTTGGGGGGCTCCTTATTTCTCAACGGGTTTCTCTTCACATAGTGCCAACTGAGGGATACACACACACCTTGGGATGCTCAACGACAATTTAGAGGAGCTGGTCGACAAACTCCGACGGCTCACCGGGCAAGCCGCGCCGGTTCTGAAACCGGCCCCATCCGTGGGGTTAAGAATCAGCGAGGAGTGCGCATTGGTTTTACAGCAGGTCTTACGACGCCACCCGGCCATAATTCTACTGCCGCGAAGTCGGCGGGGCCTGATGGAGACACTTCTTTGTGAGATGAAGGAATCTGGCACGGTTCCGCCCAACGCACCCTCCGAGGTCGTGCGGTTGCTGGGATGGGTGAACGAAACTGCGGAGGAGCTGGAGTTGGAGCGGCTCGCGGCGGTCTTCGTCTCACCTGCGGAAGCCTATGAGGGCTTCACCGAGCGAACGTTAGATGCTCTGGGGTTGCCGGAGGCCCCGCTCCTCGAGAAAACCGTAGAGTCCTTGCCATGCCCTTGGAATGTCCTCTTCTCGCTCCTCTCGGGGCCTTTGTTCGATACCGACTTCTTGTCAATCAAGCGTGCCGAGCTGCGTGTTGAGAATGCAACTTCCAGCTTTATACGGAGCCTACAGCACGTGCACAGCGATCTGTACGATACGGCCTCATGGCAAGACCTCATCATCTGCATGGAACCCTTTCCTATCGCATCCGTTCGTGCCGTATGGCATGCGATGTTGTATTTTTACCCCACCAGCGGCGCCGTCGTGTGCAGCTATTTGCAGAAGGAGCTGGCGGAACTTCGGGTAGCACGGACCCCCATCCACAAGTGTAGCGAGGAGGTGGATGCGAAACAGGTTGTAAAAGATTGCCTTCGAATACTAAACACGTTTTTTCGCCATTTGCCGCTCACGTTTAGTTGTGAGCTCTATACCATGTTCATTGATTTTATCACAGAGTATGTGCAGCCGGATAACATCACGATGGACGCAATCTTCCGTGTGTGTCTCCGGCGCGACATCGGCGAGCTGCCGCAGAGCACGCCGCTGTGGATGCGATACCTAAATTGGCGATCGACCACGCTTACCAACGCAATGAAGCGGCGAGAGTGGGTACGAAAGATCTACACTCGGATCTTGCGGACACCTCTATTAGATCTGGAAAACGTGAAGGAGCATTTCGAGGCCTTCATTTTGTCCGACCTCCACGGACGCTTCCCAACAGACGAGAAGACAGGCATCGAAAGACGCTTTACCCGAGCCAAAGCCGAGGCCCTTGAGGTCGAGGAGCTACTGAAAGGTCTCCATGATTACCTTCCCCGCCCATTACAGCTATACGAATCCAGCCACAGCCTCAAAGTGGATCAGAGTCGGGAGTTGGAGGCGTGGTCGTGCTGGCATGCCTTGCTAGGGAAAACGAAACGCCGCGTGACTCAGGATCAAAGTATGGATCCTCTTTACTACCTTCGACGACGGAACTTTCTACGAATGCGAGCCTGTTGCTTTCCGCATCAGGTGGATAGCTGGGTTGAGCTTATTTACTTCTGCATTCATGAGGAACACGCGTTGTCTGAGAAGGAAAGGGCCGCCCACGCTGTAGATGCTGTGGAACTCGCGCAGCAGTTTCTGCCCCACTCGACGCTGATGAACCTTTTTGTGGCAGACATCACCGCAGCTCATTTCGGGGACTGCGCTGGTGCCTTTCGCTGTCTTCGCGATACTTTGCTGCACACAAAGTCTGTTTTGATGTGCATTATCAAGAACCCTGATGGAAACGCATCGTCGTCGGACCCTAGTTACGGGAGTACGGCGCACGCTCTTCGCCTCCTACAGGACATCACCATTCTTTCTGTAAATTGGATGCGGATGGGGTGCCATCAAGCGGACCGCTATCATATTTCGCTAGTAGCGCGTTATATGATGCACACGATCGATTTTCTCTCCCTGACCATGGCCTGTATAAGAAAATTTATGAAGTCCGGGGAGCTACAAGAGCCCACAACATTCTTACAACCCTTTAATGTATTTTGCTTTCATTGGATTGAATTGGAAGTGATTCGGAATAAAGCCCTGGAGATTGGACTGGGTGTACTGAATCAGTGGAAAGAGCACCTCAAGATGATGATCACGTCTTCTAGCGGAAAGCAGTGGAGCTTACACACGTGCGGGGTGAACGATCTTTTCGTCGAAGCCTGTCTGTTATTGCTTCGCGCGTCCTCGTCCTCGTCCGAGGTTGTGTTTGACATCCTCACCGAGCTCGAACGGGCCGTCGAGGCGGCCGACCTCGCGGACGCCACGCTGCACTACCTCCTCGCGCAGCTACGGCATCGCTGCTTCCGCGTCCAGGACGGCGCCCCACCCCCCTGGGGGGAGGACCTGCTGCCCCTGAAGCTCCTGCGGCCGAGGGCGGCGCCCCATCGCTACGACACGCGCCCATTTCACAGCTCGCTCTTCCGTCAAGGGGAACTCCGGACGGCGCGGGAGATCGCCGAGAAGGAGGCCCTCCGTTCCCCAGGGACTGCCCC